AAAACAATATATATGACTTCAAATTTACAGCTAATAAATTACTTTTAGGTAAATGGAAAAAAAAAGGATAAAGAAAAAATTAAATCACATTTGATCAAAATTTACTACATGATCATATAAATACTCTACTTACAAGTTGTGCTCCATATTTGAACACCTTCTTCCCATTGTCATCCTCAGTGTAAAACTCCTGCAGGAACCTTTTGCACTTTTCTGCAAAAACAAACAAAAACAGCCGGGCTCTGTTTTAAAACAGAAACACAGGAGGGCAGGCCGCGTTCACCAACATGTTTGGCGATTTTACCTGAATTTTCATTCGGAAAATACAACCACTTTCTGGGCTTATCGCGAACAGCAGAGGGGCCTTCACGCTTGGAGCTAATTTGTTGTCCTGCGTCGACCCCCCCTTTGTTGAGTAACATGGCATCCTGTAATCTCGATGAGTCACTATTGCTACAGTACGACACAACTGCCGCTGGTGTGTAAACATGGAGCAAATACCGCCCAGTCGTGCCTCCTTTTACAGTTTCGGAGTGAAGTAAAGTATCACGCAGTCTATCGCTTCGGGGCAAGAACGTAAACACAACAACAGGCGCGCTCAGTTATGTTTCTTTCCCCCCCACCCCCCTTCTCTTTGGTAAATATCCCCCCCCCACACACACACTCCCTGAAAGAGTCACAACTAACAATATTTAACTACGCGTTACGGGGGGACGAAACTAGCCTTCGAACCGAGTCAAAATTAACTGCGCTTACTTTGACGCCGTGGAGGAAAATTCGCGGAGCTGCTGGGTTATTTCCATGTTCGAGGATGTTATTGTAAACAAAGCAGCACATGGCTTTTGTGCCCCGTCACTCAAGATATCCCTCCGCGATTCCTCCGCTACTCGAAAGAGTCCCGGTTGTTGTTTTCAAAATCGCAGCCAGCCATCTTTTTTTTTTTTTAACATTAGCTCAGGGTTAGCTTCAAGACTTGTGTTCCTGCCCATGTAATCCACCAATATTTTGGAATACAATCACTAAGCAGCTAGAAATCGCTGACTTAATGTTTAACCAGAGTGGTTTCTGATGGTTTGTGAAACTTCCCACATTTGCGCGGTTTGATGGTGCGTTCACTAAATTCGGAGAATTGAAGAAGTCTAAAGTCTTCTAAAGTGAATTAGCACCAAATATTCTCGTTGGGTCAGAGAACATTACAGGTGTTTACCGTAATGGTGTTACAATCGTACCGAAGAACAGATTTCTTTTGCGAGCCTGAAGCACAAACATGCTAGCTTGAGAAAGAGGCGTTCGTAGGCAGGGCACAAAGCCAGCCGATGCACAGTGGTTTCCAACCTAACTTAAATACGAAATGGTGCGTTCACTGACAGCTGACAGAATCGGAGACGACACAAGTAGAAAAACGTGAAATGTTTGGTCTGAATTGAGGACGTTTAAATGACCTAAATTAATGAGAAAAAAAAGCGTTGTAAAAATAACACTCAAAGACAGCATTAATTTAAAAAAACTAGATGATTACAAACGTTGCTTTTTAAAAGTGGACATCGTGAAGCTTATTTAGTGGGATGCCAACTTTCTCCAGTAGCTTTAACACTCGTAAACAACGCATATCATTTCTATAGGTGGTCATTCCGAGTTAAATGTGAAAAAAGACAACACACAGCAGGTATTGTTGTACATGTGCTTGCACACAGGCGCCTTCTCCTTTGTTTAAGGATCCATCCGGGTCACCGCAGCTCGGGGACAAAGCTGAACTGGATCCTGACCAAAATCGTTCAGGAAAGTCCATTAAACTTCATAATAAACAATATATATTTAAAAATCTTAACTTTCGGTCTTTAATATGGAATACTTTTTATTGTGTTCCCAAAATACATCAAAAGGTATACCCGAACTTGTTCTAAAACTGAATAAATTAATTACACTTTCGTCTCCATGCACTAATATACTTTCCTCACGTTTAATTCATGGCTAACGCTTTTATTAATACGTCTAATCGTTTTAACCAACCTGTTGCTGCCATGCTTTTATGATAGAAAACTCCTTTACCTTTCTCTGCCACATAGTCCTTACGAGCCATGGCTGCACGCGCTGGTTTTCAGGTGAAATAAGTCGACTTCGAAATCTGAAGTTGCCCACGAGCTAAAGCGCTGTTAAGAAAGTGTGTTTTTTGTTTCTTTATTTTAACGCTGGTCACTTGAACTCATTCACATGCAGCCAGAACTTCTCCGGGTCCGAGTGTAGAGAACTGGCGCCACTCTGACAACCTCGGCAGCCAATCAGGTTGCGCCTTTCGGTGAAAAGAGGCAGAACTTCGTTGTGGCGCGAAACCTGTAGGAGGCTGCTCATCACATGACTAAGCACTTCCGCCAGGCTGGTCAGGAATGGCGCGAAATGTGACAACAGAATTATATAAATGGAATGGATGTGGCAGAAACTAGTTTTCATGTTTTTTTATTTATGCAGAACATAACACACTTAAGATACGAACTATACTTCTTTTACTGTTCTAAGAATAATGTAGCTTTTTGTCATACATGTGCACGTCAAGGGTAAATCCAACATATTTTAAAATATTGAGTAGTTGTAACTTAAGATAAAAAACGTGAAAGTAAATAATTTAACAGTTTTAGTTGACATTTTAACATCTTTTACAAAATCTTTTCATTTCTATTGCATAAACAAGGGTTTGACAATAATTACAACCAATAATATTCAAAAATGTGGCATATATAAACTTACTCTTAATAGACAGTGATAATGTTGACAGTGACAACTCAACAACATTATGCCACATACTCTCTCTACCTTTGAATTAAAGTTTTCTAACAGGCATGTCTTCACGAATTATTATTATTTTTTAACTATAGCTTAGAGATTTCCCTTTTTTAAATATTTAAATGACATCATTCTAGATCAGTAAAAATTGTTTTCAAACCATCASGCTCATAAACAAAAGTAGATTGTTGCTAGCCAGGCCTTAAATTGGCACATTTTAAATATGTATCATTTTGAAGCCTTTAAGTTAAAGAAATAGTGAAATGATCTTGACTCAATATTGACAAATTTCTCACTGTGACTCATTTTGCCAGCACAGGTCACAAGTTCTTTGAAAAGTTCCAACGCCCCAAAAAAACAATAACAATTGAAGGCTTCAACAGAACCAATATTGGACCATTAAGAGTGGCCATACAGAGGAACGAAAGGCTTTAACTTTATTGTAACATGAAAACAGTGAAGCTGCAGAAACGTTGAAATGAAACAGACTTCAGTCAAAGAGCTCATCCAGGAAACTGGCTGAAGTGTGACGTGTGGAGGGCTGAAAGTGAAAAGAAATCAATCGTTTTAAAAAAATTACGTTTTCCAAAACATAAAACACTATATTTGTGATTGAATTTAACCGTGTTGAATAATAAATAAAAAGAATATTTCACTTTTTCACAATTTAATGTCATTATTATATATTTTTTTTAAATCACAAACAAAATGCAGAATCCAGGAATACTAATTAAAAATATACATATATATTTATAATTCAGCTGTACAAGAATCTCTGCAACTGTTATGTCTTAATGAGTTGCAACTTCTTTCACAAATCTCACATTTATTGAACTTTCTCCTCACTGTAACTTATTACACAGTAAGATAAAACACAGTTAGGCCTGTCACAATAAACAATAAATCAATTAATCGTATGATAAATTAAATTGAGGAAAATAAATTTATATAAAAGATAATATTTTTCCTTTGCCTGCTTTTTTGTACTCTTCACATCTCCCTCTTTTTTATTTCTTAGCATAGAGAAGTGAACTCTGGTGTCAGGTATTTGCCAGGTGTATGGTCACCTAACCTCTGTAGCATGAAAGCCTRTGAACAGGCATTTAGCCAGAGGAGCATCTTCAGTTTTCTGACGCCTTGGGATTGCCAACAGTTTTTTTTTCTTTTTACACTATGTACATTTTAATGTAAACTTCTGTAAACAGTGGGGTTATATCATTATATTGGTTTAAACTGGTCTCCAACAATATTATTGTTTATCGCAATAATTTCTGAGACAATTTATCATCCAGTAAAATTTGTTATCATGACAGGCCTAAACGCAGTACATAAAAAATAAAGTGCCATGCACCAGATGCACTCACAGCAAGTTTGAGCCTGTTCTAAAATATTAGAACAAACATCCATCAGCATTTTGTTTGTCTCACCAGTGTGTACGCAGCCTCAGAGTCACTGTCATAATCTTCGATCTCAGGCTCCTCCTCTCCTGACATGTTGCCTTCCTCTCCGCCTGAACGGTCATCTTCTATCAGGGAAAGCCTTGGCAGCCAACATTACTTTGTCACTTATTTGTCTTAAAGAAGAATCACAAAGAAGATCTTTTCATTTGTCTTACATTGTGAAGTGAGAGTCCAGATCTTCTTGTTTTAAAGTGGATGAGGTTTGGCTGGAAGAGGCTTGTCTTCGTTTGACGGGTTTCACCTTTCGCATTTGTGTTCTGGACAGTAAAACATGGTCACTCTTTTCTTTACCGGTCTACGAATTGCACTGACAAAAGAAGTTGCATGGTTTTCTTTTTGCCTCCTACAGTTTATATCAATTTCAACAGAAAACAAACTGACTTATGTTAAAGACAAAGTAACTGATTCACTTTTAGGATTCAACACATGTTCAGCAGTTATTTCCAAAACTCTGACACAAATTTCATATATGCTGCAGATGTGATAAGGATAGAAGTCTTACTCTTGGGAGAACTCCTCCTCTGACTCCAGCTCAGGTATGTCACCAGCATTAGGTAGCGCGTCTCTGGGCTTCTTGAAAGCTGCATCTTTGGCGGTCTGTTTCTGGACAGTTGAGGTGAGGACGGGGGTCTGGAGGTGGCTGTTGACACTRCTGGTCTCTAACCAGGACCCTCCGGCTGTGCTGGATGCTAAAATAAAACAAAACATGTAAGACCGCAGTTTGTCAACGCACTCATAAAACTAATACAATTAAGAAAAACTCCCTCCCAACAATAAAGTAGCAGAAAATTGTTCATTTTAACAAAATCTTTTGTTATGTCATATAATAAACCCTACAGTTACAATACAAATTTTGTCCGAGAGTTAAGTGGATTTATCACTGAATGTAAAATAACCTAAATGTAAAAATGCATGATGGATATTTTCCGTGATATTTTAGTTTACGATAAAATGTGCCAAACAGACAATAACAAAGCTAAACTAATCWGAATTTTCTGCTTGTTTCAGTAGCACATTCTTAATGGTAGTTTTCTTGATACAGGAATGTTTTATTAAATGCTGTGTGTAGTATGTGTGTCACCCTGAGGAGTYGTCTTCTTGCGTTTTGCTGCAGGAGTGTCCTGTGCGGAAACGGCATCATCTYCCTCCTCTGGCTCTCTGTACTTGGTGGAGCGAGACTTCAGAGACTGCTGATACAATCTGACTGATGGCCAGGAGAGGGCAGCACTGGGACACTCTGATGCCACAAACTTCTCTCTGGGAGGGGTAGGAACAACCGCAGAAGATGAGGACAAAGACCAGGGAAACATTCGTAAAGGTTTTAATATCAGTTGTTTGGATTTTATGTCTGATGTGAAACATTTAAGCTAATATTACACCTTCTAACAGGACTGATGCAAATATTTCCCTAAAAAAATAGCATCTTAGAATTTRGCAAACAATCTTACACAACCATAAAAGCAGTTTTTCCACAACAGTAAATACATTTTAATGTGATATATATACACTTTATTTATGTTATAATTAAAAAAAATCATTAAAGGGATCCATGATTAGTTGTAACATTAGACTTTATTTGATAAACATTTATTTTAACTGTAAAATAAAGACTGTAAAAATACTGTAGGATGTTTAGTTTTTATAATTTTTAAACTAAAAGTTTAAAAATATATTACATGGACAGGACTGAAAATATGGATGGAGGACAGCAGAGCTGCTTCATGGAAGAAGAACCTCAGCTTAGCCTGTTAGCCATTGTGCTAGCACCGATGCTATACTGCCTTATATGT